TGTAATTTAGAATTTGTGATAAATTTTGAAAAAAAAACTAAACTTTGAATTATAAAGTATTCCGATATTAAGAGATTTCACTGTATTTTGTGATAAACTTGAAGAAAAACTAACGCCTATTTTTATACAAAAATATATTTAAAATTTTAGTTTGTTTATATTTAATAAGAAGTACAAGTGCAAGTATTTAGTTCTAAAAAAAATTGCCACGTATATCTTTTAAAATTGTACGTTTATAAGATAAAGTAATCAGTAGGTGGTTTTGTATTTTTTCAGTCTTATCGTAAATGCAATAAAACCTTAAAGTTACAAGTTGTAATTGCTAGAACATCAATATTTAATTTGGTTGTACCTATAGGTTGTTTAGATTTCTCTAAATGTTTGCTAAAAAAGAAATATACAAAATTTCTAATTGCAAATTAGTTTAAAAAAAGGTTTGTTGTTATTGTAAAAGTTCGAATGTGTCCGAAGTTCTTTCCAGGAGAATAAACTTTCGGTTGATACAGCTGTCGCTGGGTTAACAATCCTTGGCCAAGTAAGACTCGCTTCGTTCCGGAGCGAAGATCCAATTTTCGATATAAACATATGTTTGTGATTCCATTTGGTGTTTGAATCCTTATAGATGAGTCCTGTATGTCTACCCGTATGTTTTTCCAGAATTTAGAATATATTTAGATATGTAAAAGAATACATAGACAATATGTATATCAAAGTAAGATATTTGTAATACATTTCATTTGATATACATAATGACCAGGAAAAACGTAGGTTTTTCTTGATTATATTCATATCTTAACCATTTAGGACCAGCATTTTGACAAAAAATTATTAATTAATTATTTTAAATAACGAAATTGTTTTAAATTTTATTGCTCTTTTTCAGTACTGTAAGTTACATCACAAATAGAAGCAACTTTAAAAGTTCTATTCAAAATGGGTGATGAATTCGATGGTTGCGAATGTGTTTGGTCTCACGAACTGGCCATGCAAAGGCTATTGAATTTTGTAAGTTGTTATAATAATAAATGTCGATTTTAAAATTTTCAATTATTTGATGAACTTCTCAAACACAGATACGTCAAAATCAAAACGAATGTACGGATACACACTGTATAGATGGTAAGTTGTAATAAAAAAAAATCTCTCCTAGTTTCAAAATTATTTAAAGTTTTTTTTTGTAATTTTACATATTTTTCTACAGTTACAGGTCGTTTAACACAACCGGCACCTGCAACAACAGGTGGTGAAGATAATAACTTCACTATGATGACAATGATTATGATTTTTGCCTTGATTATGTATTTAATAAGACCCGAATCAATTATGAAATTGACCAATACTAAACGTCGTGGTGGCCAGGGTCCTAGTGATGGTGGCAATGGTGGTTCTCATCAACAGCAACCACCACCACCTTCACCGCCGGCGGTGAATTGAATTTGTTCTTTACTTTTATCAGTAATTCCTAAAAAGTAAAACATTTAATTTTTTTATATACATACAATTATTAATTAATATTGGTACTAACTTTATAAATACAAATTAACAGATTTATATAATCAACTATATAATTTTGTAGGATGTATTATTTTTTTTAATTTATATAATATTTTTTTGGTTTAACTAAAATTGGTTTATAGATGAGAAACAAAAACTTCACAAAATTTTTAAAATATAATAATATGTATTTGCAAATAAAAAAAGGTTGGATTTTGTTTATGTTTTTTTGTGGAATAGAAATATTATTTAAATCCAATAGATTAGCATAGTCTTAACTTAAACCATAATGGAATCTCTATCCTCAACGATGAAGATTTTAATTACCTGTTTTGTAATCACTGCTTTTACTTACACTTTCTCTAGTAAATTTATCCTTCTCTCTATAATCTAAAGTATAGTCTGTAGTCTAGTCTATAGTCTAGTCTGTAGTTTAGTCTATTGTTTAGTCTATAGTTTAGGCTATAGTTTAGGCTATAGTCTACTCTATAGTCTAGTCTATAGTCTACTCTATAGTCTAGTCTATTGTCTAGTCTATAGTCTAGTCTATAGTCTAGTCTATAGTCTAGTCTATAGTCTAGTATATAGTCTAGTCTATAGTCTAGTCTATAGTCTAGTATATAGTCTAGTCTATAGTCTAGTCTATAGTCTAGTCTATAGTTTAGTCTATAGTTTAGGTTATAGTTTAGGCTATAGTCTAGTCTATAGCGTAGTCTATAGTCTAGTCTATAGTCTAGTCTATAGTCTAGTCTATAGTCTAGTCTATAGTCTAGTCTATAGTCTAGGCTATAGTCTAGTCTATAGTCTATTATATAGTTTAGTCTATAGTTTAGTCTATAGTTTAGGCAATAGTTTAGTCTATAGTTTAGGCTATAGTCTAGTCTATAGTCTAGTCTGTAGTCTGGTTTGTAGTCTAGTCTATAGTCTAGTCTGTAGTCTAGTCTATAGTACAGTCTGTAGTGTAGTCTATAGTCTAGTCTGTAGTCTAGTCAATAGTATAGTCTAGTCTATATAGCCTAGTGTATAGTCAAGTCTATAGTCCAGTATATAGTCTAGTATATAGTCTAGTCTATAGTCTAGTCTTTAGTCTAGTCTATAATCTACTCTATAGTTTAGTCTATAATCTCTATAGTCTAGTCCATAGTGTAGTCTGCAGTCTAGTTCATAGTCTAGTCTATAGTCTAGTCTATAATCTAGTCTATAGTCTAATCTATAGTCTAGTATATAGTTTAGTCTATAGTCTAGTCTATAGTATAGTCTGTAGTCTAGTTCATAGTCTTATCTATAGTCTAGTGTATAGTCTAGTCAATAGTCTAGTATATAATCTATAGTCTAGTCTATAGTTTAGTTTATAGTCTAGTCTATAATCTAGTATTGAGTATAGTCTATAATCTAGTCTATAGTCTAGTCTATATTATAGACTAGACTATAGACTATAATCTAGTCTATAGTCAATTCTATAGTTTAGTATATAGTCTAGTCTATAGTCTAGTATATAGTGTAGTTTAGTCTATAGTGTAGTCTATAGTCTAGTTCATAGTCTTGTCTATAGTCTAGTGTATAGACTAGACTATAGTCAAGTATATAGTCTAATCTAATGTCATGTCTATTCTATAGTCTATGCCACAATCTAGTCTATACTCTATGCTATTTTATAGTCTAATCTATAGTCTAGTGATAAATAATTGTTCGTCTGTGCTATTAAAAGTTATTAAAATAGTTATTTTTTTATTTAAACAAAAATTTAACTTCATTTACTTAAAGAGCGTCCCCAACTCAGTTTAAATAGTTTGAATTTTATACTAAAACATTCTTAAAGTAAACGAGAACCATGAATACGTTTATTTAGATGAAACGAGTTTTATGCAAAATCTATTAAAATTTAAAATAAAAATGTATATTATTAAATAAGTGTAAAGATAAAATCTAATGGTTATTATAAATCTATGTCTAATTTCGTTTTTTTCTCTTTAAAATATCCTTTCATATATACAAATTCTTCACCAGGTTCCTTTGTATAGATGCATTGATATATGTATGTATTTGATTATTAAATGCTTTCTTTCCCTTTTATTATCATTCCTCGCTATGTAATTTACTTACACACGTGCGTACTTTTTTAAGAACTTGTTTCATTTGTTCATATTTGCCAGTAGAATCGGGTAAATTTTCAAAATTTATAACATCACTAACGCCAACTTTAAAGTTTTCACCATTTGGTAAATTATCATAGGGGGAAAATTTCAAAACGGGTGTACCCTCATAGGACTCCTTAATGACTGTAGTTTGGCCAGCAGTTTTTATATTCTCTTCTTTTGGTGTTGATTCCGAGGAATTGTCGGATTTTGTTTGTAAGTTTGGCTTGTCGTGCGTTTCGTTTATCATCTTCTTCATCTAATTCGATGATTTCATCGATTAGGGAATCTTCTATTTCAATGACACTGGTATTGGAGTTTAATTCTTTTAATAGCTGTTGGTTTTTCTTTTCCAATTCTATTAACGATACGTCATTCTCTTTGCAATCACTTTCAATTGTTGGAGATTCTGGTGGTGGTTGGTGGCGGCGGAGGCGGTGAGACTGAGGGTGGATTTTCAGCTGGTTGTGGTGGTCTAGAAAAATTGTACTTCACCTAATGTTGTTTTTTCAGGATCTTCAATTTCCATATCGCAGGCTTCTTGTACTGAAGTTTCAGTTATATAATCGTCCGCAGAGGCATTTGGAAAATCTTTAAGTTTTTTACGTTTATAACCTTTTAAGACATGGTCGCCCATTGTCTTAACAAATTCATCTTTCATTTGACTTTTGCTTAAAGGAGGAACATTGTGATATTTGTAGTCCTATCAGGAAAGAAAAATAATTTGTTAAATGATGTATTTATAGAAATTTCGTAAGTGTTAAATTGTACATTTTCACAACAAAACAAATTTCTCAATAAAACTTACATCGAAAAAGTTTTCCCCAGGATCTTGATTAAAACCAGGAAAATCATAAATTTTTGATATGTTATATTTATGATTAACGGCATCCACTTCACCCTCATCTTCGTCTGAATGTAAAATTTTGGTACCCTTAGCAAAGAAATTGAAAATCTCATCAAATAATTATAGAAAGAAGCTAACAAATGATTACTTACATCCGAATTAAACAGATTTATACCGGAATGTTCTACTTTAGCTTCTTCCAGCCAACCAGGTGGATAACCCAAACACGCATGCGATAGAAGAAAAATGGCAATTCGCCTTTTCTCAAACCCAAAGCCTCACGCAATTTATCGCTTATACAACCGGGCTTAAGATGGGCAAATCTTTGTTCAATATCAACATGATAACGTTCCACTTTAAAACAGGCTCTCTTAGCATTCTTAATGCGTTTGGCATTGTGTGGCTTGGGGCAATCCCTAATGCTATGACCAGCATCGCCACAGTTGAAACAAGAATTTGTCTTTTTTGTTTTGAATACCTCCTCTTCTTCTTTTTGTTTTTTACGTGCTGCCGCCTCACCATCCAAGAGGGCATCTTTAATGGCTCGTTTATAGGAAGGTACTTTAACACTGTCAATTTTGGGCGCCGGTGCTGTATCAATAGTAAATAGCTCACTTATACCACTTAAATCCGGAGAGAGTTCTTTTTCAAAGGTTTCACTTCGAGTATCTACCTTTAAGGGGGGCGGCATTGGTATATCTTCTACTTCTTTGACCACCACTTGTTGTACCATCAACGTTATACATTCTTGATTTTCTTGTTGCGTTATCTCTATACATTTGCCGGGATTTTTAGCGCCTAATCCATCCTTTATTGTGTCTATTATAGGCTTGCCAAAATTCTTCATAAAGAGCTTTATTTGGAAACTTTAACTCGCATATAGTTTCTTTTTGCATTGTATCCTTTTCATCTTCACTCACTTCACCTTCTTCCATTTCTTGGTCCAGAGCAGGTGGCGGCGGTGGTAATTCTTCATCTTCACCATTCTCACTTGGACATTCAACCTCCTGGGAATCGTCTAGGGTTATACATGTTATATTATGTTCTTCTATGATACAATCACTATCGTCCGCATTAAATTGTGACATTTTTTCGTATATTTTTAAAATTTTCATAAAATTTCTTTAAATTAAAATCAAGCTCATTATATTTTTTATTAGATTTGATTTTACAAATGTCAAATTTTGTTGTTGTTGTAGTTGTCTTTGTTTTTAATATGAATATGACAGTTTTTATGATTGCAGTAATTGACAACTAGAGGTCGCCTCTGTGTAAGAGTTGCCAGACCGCAACGGTCGCCAAAAGTTACTTCTAGTTTTTATCCTAGACTTCAAACAAAAAAGTGTTTGTAGCAAACACGAGATACGAAAAATACATTGTTATTTGACAAACCAGCGCATATTTAGAACATACATCACAAAGTATACAGAGGTGTCACTTTTGACATTTAAAAAAGTCTAAAATCAGCTTTGTTTGATTTTGAAATTGTTTGGTGAGAAGAGGTATATAAAATACAGCTAAAAAAATTATTGAATTCGTTTTGTGCGAAAGAGAGGGAAATAGTTTTTTGCTCGTGACGCCTCTGTATACCCTGTGACATACATATGCATACGCTCTAGTTAACAAGATAGTTTCTTATGTTCTTAAATTTTAGGGGACATTCATATGTATATATCTGAAAACACAAGATCATGTTAACCAAACTTCAAACATAATACCAAAGGTTGTTGTAACCGTTTTATATATAAAATGTAAAACGTAACGAAATTTAAGCCTTTTTCTAAATTTTTAGATCTAATGTAATTTTCTTCTAAATAGCAAGATACTATACTCAGAACTCTCTATCTTACAGAATACAAGTTCTCAAGAGAGCAAAAATGCTTATTTCGGTGTAACCTCTGTTATATCTTCATCCTTCTTCGAGATATCTTAACTTTATAAAGCCTTTATTTACAACAAAAACTATAAGTTTGCTATTAAATAAAGGCGAAACGGAGTTAAACATTTGTGATTCCCTTAAAGATGGAAGACAGAATAATAAGAGGAAAAGATTTGATATAAATGACAAAGTAGATTGGACATCTAAGAGAAATATATTTGCTCCGTTACCTAAATAGTTTACTCCTCTGATAATACCAAAAAGTTCGCCTAAATCGCTCCTTGTTCATTGTGGAATCTTTTTCCTAGAAATTTTAGTCTCAGTCTTAGCGATAGTTGCATAAAATATGCTGCTTCTCATCGTCTTCATACGATCTACAAAAAATCTTGGTCCTACTGCCTTGGAAACCCGGCAATACATGCTACTATATCATGATCAGTTGGTAGACTTCTAGAATTTATCGCATATTAGTCTATAGTGATAGCAGATAGAGGTTTTTAAACTACCACTACAATTAAGGTCCACGTCCGAGTACTAACTGACCAAATAATCAGCGACCTGATTCACTATACATATGTAAGTGTCCTGGTAATCAACAAAATATTACTGCATATAACCCATTGATGTTTATAGAGCTCTTTTGCAGCTGATTACTTAAGCTATAATATAGCATGTGAGAATTTAAAGAACTAAGATCTATATGACTATCAACATAAAATCCTTTTTCAGATCGCTTAGAAGATATGTTCGGAAGTCTAACAGACAATTTATGTGACTGTCTATCAGATAAACTTTGTCTCCTGTCTCTAATTCCTTTTTTGGATCTATTTGTAACGACGGCACACCTCTCAGACAGTACATCAGAACCAATCCACTCGTCCCTACTAGGAAACACTGGTGTAACTCCGAAGTCTAGGGGTTGTATAGAACTAAGAAGTCTTTCAAATTTTGGACTAGAATATGTAAAAAGAGGAACCTAAAATAGCAGACATTAAACCTTTATATTACAGCCAATTAATAGAACTTTCAAACGACATAGTAACCGATTTTATAAATACGGGTGACTTCTATTATAACGTCTCGAATATGACAAAAATGGTGTTATTTTAAACTAAACGTTAAAATATCTAGAAAACCTGATGTAATGGAGAAATTTTTATTAAAGATTCGGATTCAATGTATCTTTAGAAATGTATACTTTAGTCCCTAAATTAGGGACTGTATAAACTGTCCTATACTCCACAAATAAGAAAAAAAACATTACAATTTTCATTGAAATATACAATCTTTATTTTACGACTAGATCCAAAGATGTTTCAAATTAAACAATACATTAAAAAAAAATATTATTACATTTATATTAATACAAACATTTGTTGCAATGTATTTATTAATACAAAATAAATCTTTGCCAAAAATAAAAAAATAATTAGTAAAACTTAAAATAATATATAAATGTATAATTAGCAAATTATATGTATATAAATATAAAAAAAAATTAACTTAAATATAAAATTTGAATTTATACATAAAAGTAAATAAAATATAGTTGTATATATAGTGTAAACATAAATGTTAAACTTATTTACATCAGACAAATTTCGAAATACTTGTAGTAAATTGAATGTTTGAGTAAGATTTTTAAAGTTTTATTAAAAAAATAAAAAAAGCTGTACAAAGTTTAGGCGTTTTTGGATTATACTTACATTTACATATATAAAGATATTATTAAATATTTTTGTTTATGTTTTGTTTTTGTTTATACGTATATGCAAATATATTTATTAATTTTAGGTTTCTTTTTGCCAAATACATCAATTTTTTTTTAAATTTTTTTCTAAAACAACATTTTTTTAGGTACCTATTTCTTTTAATATAATTCAAAATTATTATAATATTTAAATAAAAAAAAATTTTATAATACTTTTTTTTTTTGTATTTTTTTTTAATAGTATTTTCTGTTAAACCATTGTTTCTGGAATATTGTAGAATTTTGTTTGTTGTTTGCAGGGATGAGTAAGCGGGAGTTTGTTAGAGTTATAGACCGTTTATATATAAGTTGCTGTTAACCATTTACTTTTTGCCCAAGGTATCACGCCATTCATTATATTTATCCATTTCCTCATGCAATTGTAACGCCTCTATGCAGGCATTGAAGAATGGTGAGCCAAAGCAATCTTGTCTATAATATTGTTGTAGTTAAGGAAAATAGAGAGAGAGAGAAGAAAACACAAAACAAATTATTAGTATTTTCCAAGTAAAGGTAAGCTTTTTAATATCTTTTGAGGGTTTTTTCAAAAAAATTTTCAAAAAGTTATAGTTTTTTCAAAAATTCTTCAGGTTTTATATTAAAAAAATATAAATGTTTTGGGGTTTTTCTAAAAAAATCAAAAAAGTTTAGCTTTTTTTTTTTGTTAAAAAATGCAAAAAGCCTTTTAAAATAAAAATATTTACAAGTTTTGTTGAAATTTTTTTTTTTCAATTTCAAAAAATTCGAAAATTTCAAAAATTTTTCAAATTCAAAATAATAAAAGGTTTAAAAGAACAATTACACAAAAAACCCAAAGACTAAAGAGTCCACTTTTTTAAACAAATCCCAACCTGATCTCATAAATTCTCCATCACATCAGGTTTTCGAGATAACTAAGCCTAAAGTTTGAAAGTTTTGCTACATATTCAAAAGGTTATATAACTTCTGATTAAGATATGTCAAAGAAGGGGCATGATATAAGAGAGGGAAACTTTTATTTTTGTTATAAATTTAGACATCGATATCTATTTATCTAAGTATCTGCTGATTGGCTTCCTTTAACTTAAAAACAAACAAATATGAAATACAAAGTTTTCTAATTGTATTGTAGTCCAAATCAAACATTGAATACAGAGAAGCCCTTAAAGTTGTTATCAGGGAAATTGAGATGAATCCTTTGGTATTCAAGAAAAATCTAAATTTATTAATGTCATGGTAATTTTAGTAGTTTTTGTTGTTTCCTAACGAAAGTTGTTATAGTTGTTATACTGGCCGCAAAATAAAGAGGTTGAAAACACTATTAACTCAAAGAATAGTTAGATTTGACCTTCAACGGAAGATATCTCAGCCCATAGAATAGTTATCTAAAGAATTCTTTGGAAATAACAGTGATAAAAACGAAATATATCGAAAATTACATTCATAGTTTGTTTAAACTTTAGGTTAAGATATAAAAAGGAAAAACTTATAACAGATATTACTAATATATTGACTGGTGTATTGTCTACTCCGTATAATAGTTTATGGTCTAGTCCATGGGGTAGAGTTTAGTCTATTGACTAATATATTAACTTAGATTCGAGTACAGCTAAAAAGTTTTAAAACGCATATATTTTCTCAACTTTTCATAGACCAGTTTATTAAGTAATCTAAAGGCTTCTTTATGGACTAGTCTATGCATTAGTCTATGGACTGGTCTATTAAGTAGTTCGATCTATTGACTAGTGTTTTGATAAGTCTATGGACAAGTCTACTGATTCGTCTATTTTCTAGTTTGCAGTTTAGTGTATGAACAGTTCTATGAATGACTAGTCCGCCACTTTATTAACTAATTTAAAGACTACTTTATGGACTAGTCTATGCATTAGTCCATGGACTGGTATATTAACGAGTCTAAACTATTGGCTAGTGTTTCGACAAGTCTATGGACAAGTCTATTTTCTAGTAGTCTATGGACTAATCTATGAGTCATTCATAGATTAGTCCATAGACCATAGACTAGACTAGTTTATTGACTGACCATTTGACTACAATATTGAATAGTCTATAGACTAGTCTATATATTTGTCAATTTACTAGTCGGTAGATTAGTCTATGGACTATTTTATAGTCTTGTCTGTTAACTAGTCTATGAAGTAGTATAATGACAAGTCTATTGTCGAGTCTGTAAACTAGTCTGTAGATTAATCTACCATGAAAGATTAGTTCATGAACTAGTTTATTGGCTAACCTGTAGACTGCACTATGTACTAGTCCATGAGTTTGTGTATGGACTATCTATTGAATAGTCTATAGACAAGTCTAATAACTGGTCTATTGACTAGTTTATTGACTAGTCTACTGTCTGGTATACTGTCAAGTATATGGACTAATCTGTAGATATGTCTATGAAACACTATAGACTAGTCTATTGACTGTCTATTAACTGGTCTATTGACTAGTGTTTTGACAAGTCTATTGACTAGTCTACTAACTGGTATATTGTCGAGTATATGGAGTAATCTGTGGATAAGTCTGTGAACTAGTCTTTGAACGATTAGTTCATTGGCTAACCTGTAGACTACACTATGTACTAGCCTATGAGTTAGTCTATGTACTAGTCTGTTGAATAGTCTATAGACAAGTCTATTAACTGGTCTATTGACTAGTTTATTGACTAGTCAACTGACTGGTATACTGTCGAGTATATACTTATCTGTAGATAAGTCTATGAAAGACTATAGACTAGTCTATTGACTGTCTGTTAACTGGTCTATTGACTAGTGTTTTGACAAGTCTATGGAGTAATCTATGAAAGACTAGTCTAATATGGACTTGTCTATTGAATAGTCTATAGACTAGTCTATTGAATAGTCTATATATTAGTCTATTGAATAGTCTATAGACTAGTCTATTGAATAGTCTGTTGAATAGTCTATAGACAAGTCTATTAACTGGTCTATTGACTAGTTTATTGACTAGTCAACTGACTGGTATACTGTCGAGTATATATACTTATCTGTAGATAAGTCTATGAAAGACTATAGACTAGTCTATTGACTGTCTGTTAACTGGTCTATTGACTAGTGTTTTGACAAGTCTATGGAGTAATCTATGAAAGACTAGTCTAATATGGACTTGTCTATTGAATAGTCTATAGACTAGTCTATTGAATAGTCTATATATTAGTCTATTGAATAGTCTATAGACTAGTCTATTGAATAGTCTATAGACTAGTCTATTGAATAGTCTATAGATTAGTCTATTGAATAGTCTATTGAATAGTCTATTGAATAGTCTATAGACTAGTCTATTGAATAGTCTATAGACTAGCCCATTACTAACTGGTCTGTTGTCTAAAGGTGGTATATTGTCTAGTCTATAGACAAGTCTTTCGACGGGTCTTTATATTAGTCTATGGACTAGTTTCTTAACTTTTGTATGAACTATTCTATGGGCTACATTATTGACTAATCTGTGCACTAGTCTGTAGACTATGGACTAGATATAAGTGGTTTAATTCAGCTCATGTATTAATAACTCTATTCAATATTTATAAATATATTACAAAAAGTACTGTAAACTTCAGTTAACAGTTTTATTAAAAAAAAGTTTTCACTCAAAAAAATAAAGTATTGAAAACCGTTTAAAAAGAAGAAGAAACAAAAAGAAATTTCAAAAATTTAACTAATAAGTTAGATTCCTAAATAGGAAGTGTTAAAACAACAAAAAAAATCTTTCAAAAAATATTGAAAAATTAAAGGAAACCCAGTAAACAAAATGTGGGGATTTAAAAAAAAATAAATAAATAAAATAAAAACGTACCGAATAAAATAAAACAAATTATATATTTTTTTCAAATATGAGTTTCATCATAATAATCCCTCTGTTTATATTCTCTAGAAGTAGTGGAGTAGTTGATGATGATGATGACGTTGATGAACAAGCAACATTGCATATGTAATATTTTTTTTTTTTTTTTTGTTAAAAAAAAGAAGTTTCCACAGTCTGTTGACTTTATAATTAAAAAAAAAGCTGCCGTTGATATTATAATTCTTTTTTTTTTTGTTTTTGTTCCTCATTCACAGAGTTTTGGTAGAATATATAATGAATATAAATACATAATATAGGATTTTACAATGATTATATATTTTTTCCATTTTTTTAGGCTTTTCTTTTTATTTTTTCCACATATGTATGTATATATGTTTTTGTTTTGTATACATACTTATATAAATGTTTTTTTATATAGTAATAGTAAATAAAGGAGTGTTTTTAACGTGTTCTATCACAATATTTTTCATTAGTTTTCATTTCATTTTTTTTTTTTGTTTTTGTTTGTTTGTAGTATTTTGTTTTAAATATATTTTTTTGTTTTGTTGTAAATTAATACATTAATATATTTGCCAGCAAATTTTTAATTAGTAGTAGTAGTAATAGTTAAAGTTTAAAATGTAATAATTTCATTTGTTTAAATATAATTTATATTTTATTATTTATTATTTTTTTTTTTAAATATATAAATTAAATAATTTACAATTGGATAACAGTTTTAGAAAAATATCCAAACATTTAAATGTTTAGAGGTTTTTCTTTTGAAAAATTCCATAAAAAAAAATTGAGAGAAAATATTACAAATTAATTTAAAAAAAACTGTAAAAAATACTTTTTTTTTGTTTTTAGCTAAAAAATAATAATTTATATATTAAACTAAAACAAAATTGGAGATTTTTTTTTAAGGCAAAACTAATTTTAATTAAAAGTAAATATTTTCTTTTTTTAAAAAATTGCTGAGCAAATTATTTAAAATTAAAAAATATATATATAACAATATTATTCAAAATTTTCTTTTAAATTAAACTTAAAAATAAATAAAATATTTTTTTTTTTAAATTACTTGCTTTAATTAGGTTGTTTTCTTTTTAAATAAATAATTAAAAAATTAATACAAATATATAAAAATAAAATAAATAAGTACAAAATAAACTTCTTTTTTTTCACTTTCGTTGATTAAAACAAAAACAAACAAAAAATACTTAAGCTCAATTTAAGACAAAGTGTTTATATATATATATAAATATAAAAAAAAAATAATAATAATTAAAATTTAAATTAAAAAACTAAAAATAGTTATTATGTTGTAACCGGCGTCATATTGAATGAGGGGATGGGTGAACCGTTTATAACTTTAATGAAATGTTGCAATTTTGATACTTCCTCGGGGGGTATTAATAAAACTTTTAAACATTCACCAAACCACTTTGAATCAAAACAGTTTTTTCCTTAAAAAAAAATAAAAAAACAAACAGAAAAATAATAAATAAATTATAAAAAATTTTAAATAAAAAAAAATAGCTCAATTAAAAATAAATAACAAAAATTTATAAAAATCAACCAACAACTTTTATATATAGTTATGTTTATAATAATAATAATAATAATAATATATATTTCATAAATTACAATTTTTTTCTAATTACTTAAACTAAAGCGGCAAAATCTAGAGAAGATAATGGCGATCCGTTGATAACTTTAAGAAAATATTGAAGTTGTGTTACTTCTTCATCGGGTATTAATAAAACCTTAAGACAACTGCCAAAGGTTTCATGAGTAAAACATTTTTGCCTGTATATTTTTTAATTTTATACATTTTTTAATTTGTTCAAGGGAAAAAGAAATATTTAAGAAAATATTAACAATAAAAATAATAACAATAAATACATTTTTAAATACAATAACAATTAAATTATTATGTAACTTATATAATTAAAGATTGAAATATTAGTTTAAAGTGATTTATTATTGACTAGTCTATGTACTAGCTCTGTTTTAGTTCAGTTCAAGTTCAGTTCTTGTTGAGTACTGCTTCAGTTCTAGTTCAGTTGTAGTTCAGTTCTAGATTAGTTCTAGTTCAGTTCTAGATTAGTTCTAGTTCAGTTCTAGTTCAGTTTAGTCAGTTCTAGTCAGTTCTAGTTCAGTTCTAGTTCAGTTCTAGTTCAGTTCTAGTTCAGTTCTAGTTCTAGTTCAGTTCTAGTTCAGTTCTAGTTCAGTTCTAGTTCAGTTAGTTCAGTTCTAGTTCAGTTCTAGTTCAGTTCTAGTTCAGTTCCAAGTTCAGTTCTAGTTCAGTTCTAGTTCAGTTCTAGTTCAGTTCTAAGTTCAGTTCTAGTTCAGTTCTAGTTCAGTTCTAGTTCAGTTCTAGTTCAGTTCTAGTTCAGTTCTAGTTCAGTTTCTAGTTCAGTTTATTTCAAGTTCTAGTTCAGTTCTACTTCAGTTCTAGTTCAGTTAAGTTCTAGTTCAGTTCTAGTTCAGTTAAGTTCAGTTAAGTTCTAGTTCAGTTCTAGTTCAGTTCTAGTTCAGTTCTAGTTCAGTTACGTTCTAGTTCAGTTCTAGTTCAGTTCTAGTTCAGTTCTAGTTCAGTTCTAGTTCAGTTCTAGTTCAGTTCTAGTTCAGTTCTAATTCAGTTCTAGTTCAGTTCTAGTCAGTTCTAGTTCAGTTCTAGTTCAGTTCTAGTTCAGTTCAGTTCTAGTTCATAGTCAGTTCTAGTTCAGTTCTAGTTCAGTTCTAGTTACAGTTCTAGTTCAGTTTCTAGTTCAGTTCTAGTTCAGTTCTAGTTCAGTTCTAGTTCAGTTCTAGTTCAGTTCTAGTTCAGTTCTAGTTCAGTTCTAGTTCAGTTCTAGTTCAGTTCTAGTTCAGTTCTAGTTCAGTTCTAGTTCAGTTCTAGTTCAGTTCTAGTTCAGTTCTAGTTCAGTTCTAGTTCAGTTCTAGTTCAGTTCTAGTTCAGTTCTAGTTCAGTTCTAGTTCAGTTCTAGTTCAGTTCTAGTTCAGTTCTAGTTCAGTTCTAGTTCAGTTCTAGTTCAGTTCTAGTTCAGTTCTAGTTCAGTTCTAGTTCAGTTCTAGTTCAGTTCTAGTTCAGTTCTAGTTCAGTTCTAGTTCAGTTCTAGTTCAGTTCTAGTATCAGTTCTAGTTCAGTTCTAGTTCAGTTCTAGTTCAGTTCTAGTTCAGTTCTAGTTCAGTTCTAGTTCAGTTCTAGTTCAGTTCAGTTCAGTCAGTTCTAGTTCAGTTCTAGTTCAGTTCTAGTTCAGTTCTAGTTCAGTTCTAGTCAGTTCTAGTTCAGTTCTAGTTCAGTTCTAGTTCAGTTCTAGTTCAGTCTAGTTCAGTTCTAGTTCAGTTCTAGTTCAGTTCTAGTTCAGTTCTAGTGTCAGTTCTAGTTCATTCTAGTTCAGTTCTAGTCAGTTCTAGTTCAGTTCTAGTTCAGTTCTAGTTCAGTTCTAGTTCAGTTCTAGTTCAGTTCTAGTTCAGTTCTAGTTCAGTTCTAGTTTCAAGTTCTAGTTCAGTTCTAGTTCAGTTCTAGTTCAGTTCTAGTTCAGTTAGTTCAGTAGTCAGTTTCTAGTTCAGTTCTAGTTCAGTTCTAGTTCAGTTCTAGTTCAGTTCTAGTTCAGTTCTAGTTCAGTTCTAGTTCAGTCTAGTTCAGTTCTAAGTTCAGTTCAGTAGTTCAGTTCTAGTTCAGTCTAGTTCCGTAGTTCAGTCTAGTTCAGTTCTAGTTTCGTTCTAGTTCAGTAGTCAGTTCTAGTTCAGTTCTAGGTTCAGTTCTAGTTCAGTTCTAGTTCAGTTTCTAGTTCAATTCTAGTTCAGTTCTAGTTCAGAACTAAAACTCAACTAGAACCGAACTAGTCCATGAACCAGTCTTTGGTCTAATTTATGGACTCGTCAATTATTTTCACTTAACAATTATTCAATTATTACTCAATTACTTTTACTTAACATTCAACTAAAATTAGTTATTAAATATATACATATTATAAAAATTTCTGATCTACATAAATTCGACATGTGGTCAAAACTATTAAATATTTATAAACTTACGAAAATAAAAATAAACAAATAATAAGAAAAAAACTAACAATTTTCAATAGCATCCCAAAAAACACTGTGTTAATTGTAGTTTAATTGGTATAAATTATTTATAAACAAAAAACTTATTTAAAATTTTAGAACAAATAGTTATTGTGTTTGAACAGGCGCGTGTTTTAGCAAATTTTCAAAATAAATCATAAAAAATAAACTAAATTATAAATGGCATGTGTTTTTTTTTTTGTTTTGTTTTGGGTGAAAATTCTCACGAAATATTTGAAAAATATTTCAGAAATTTTCTATAACTAAGTAAAATTAATTTATTAAGTTATAGATCAAGTAGAAGAAAGTGTTTTAATATTTGAAAATTATTTATAATTTTTCTAAGTTTTTATTTATAAATTTGTGTGTCATGGTTATAAAATAAATATGTATAGTAATTTTCCATTATTTTGTGCAATAAATAAATAAATAAATAATTACTCAATAATATATCAATCTACAATGTTTTATTTAATACCTTGAACTACAGTATTACATTTAGTTTTTGTGTTTGTTTAAATAAAAAAATTAAAAAAAAAATAGAAAAAGTATTGAGAAAAAAGAAAATTATTCCGAAAATAAATCTAAGTAACTTAAGCAGCCGGAAAGATGTGCCAGTTTTCTTAAATACATACGAGGGATGTTTAAAAAGTACCATATAATATAAAGAATTTTTAAAGAAACCGATCATGAGTTATATAAAACATTAACGGAAAAGTTTCAGTAAATAAAGCTTTAAATCAATAAAGAAGTTATGTGACCAAAGCTTTAAATGACGGTGGATTCATAAAATAGATTTTACTAAAAAATTAATAAAAAAATTATTTTAAAATAAATTTAAAAGCCATCCCTCGGAATTTTCTTTTTATTTTTCTAAGAAAATTTTTCTTAAACTTAACACTGAAAACCAGACATTTTCAATTTCCCTAAAATACAAACACAAATACCAATTAAAAAGAAAAGAAATAGTGCTAAATAATGAAAGACAAATGGACGCGATATTTAATTTATTTATAACGTATGATTAATTTAATTTTAATAGCAAAACGTGAGTATTACTAGGTCAGTGACCTACTAAATACGTAAAATTTTCGGAAAATATTCATATAAGGTAGGGGGACAGAAACTTACTTGCACAATCGATGTATACTTGTTTCACGGAACAATTGATAACAGTCTTCACATATACGATCCAAGCGGAAGAACATGGTTTTGTTAAAGATACCCTTGCACTCTAAATCGAAGAAATTACTTCTTTTGGATAAATTATGATTATGGGGCAAAGCTGTGAATAGTGGAATCAAGACAAGAAACAGCACTACCGAGATCTTAATGTTGCGGGAACACATCTACAAAAAAAAAAAAAAGAGAGAGGAAATAATTTTATAAAGTTAATTAATAAAAGTTGTTAAATAAAATAAATTTGATTAACATAATTTAATGCTTTAAAATAAAAAGCTTTTAAATGTTTTAAAAGTTTAAGTAGAATACATGAAGAAGTGTAAATGTAGCAGTGCAGATGG